CTTAACAAAGATTTAACCTTATTGTCAACATTCTAAGACACTTTTGAAATAGCATTTCTTGGGGCCCATGGAGAGGCATTTCGCCTCCACCTACTTCCCTATGGACATTTCTGGTGCTTGCTACCAGCGCAGAGGACACAAAAAAATACTACTTTGTGCCTACCAGTAGAAAAGGTAGTCGAGGCGCGGACAATCCATACACTCTTCTAATCGTCTCGTCCGTATCTCCCTCCATAAATGTTGTGAAGGCAAAGTCGGCGTCTAAGCGGTCCAGCACCTGAGTTCGCAGTCGGCGCACAGTTTTGTTACTAATGCTTTTGATGGTGTCCATCTATATCTAAGGAATATTTTATCCTCCGTTTGCGACACAAATATTTTAACCTTCGCAAACATAGCAGCAGTAAGGAAATCTTCGCGCAACATATAACAGAACACGGGTAATTCCCGCGGGGGACGCTAGTGCATCCGGGCGATTCCGAATGGTGACCGCGAGTCCCCCTTACTGCCTACGGGTTTGGTACGGGTAAAGTGGACAAATCGGATATTTGCCTAAAAGTCCGTAGAGTTGGCTCGAATAATTCCCGCGGCCGGCGCCGTTACGTGGGGGCAGGTAATCCCCGGGCGATTCCGAATGGTGACCGCGAGTCCCCCTTACTGCTGCTTATTCAAATGTTAAGATGCGCAATATAAGCAAAAATAATAATAATTATTAGTATTATTTATTTTTACTATATATTTTAAAATAAGTTGGTGATGGTTTTGTTCGATATTAAATGTTGCATACCAAGCCATATTGCCGATATAAATGCAATCATGCGAAAAGTCACAAAATTTCCTAAACTTTGTCTGCACGTTTCCGGCATATTTTCTTTTGTCCTGAAACTATTTACATATAAACATGATACATTTCAAGCTTGGTAAACAACATGAAAATAATCCTTCAGCGCCTATTCTTTTTAAATTGCTGTATATACAATGACTAAGCGTATTTTTTTTAATTTTTCTTCTTACCTTGTGCAAATTCTATGTGGGAGTATTTTGTATTGTTACGTGTGGGACCTCTTCTGTATTCATATCGTCTTTCTTTATGTTTATGTTTGGATCTGTTTTCCGCTTTTGACAATTTTTCACGTGGAAGTATTTTAGGATCCATTCGTGGACGTTTCCTTAGAACATTGTCTTTGCGCCTGATCTTTTTTTTCGAATTTTGAAAGTCTAGTCTGATTGTAGGATCGAAGGATTTTTCGGCTTTCTTGTTCCAAGGAGAAAATATTGGTTGAGTTGAGAGGGGAGCAGGATGCTGGTTTTTGATGTGGTTAGAAGTGTCACTTTGCTCCATCCCAGTAGCAGAAAACCCTTCGATAATTCTATCTACATSAGATGAGAAATCACTGTCTATCAAAAAGAAAAGAAAAAAACAAAAAAAAAAACAGGTTCTTTGTCGATTTTATCACTTCCCAATTCATGAATGACTTCATTAGCGTTCGAGGATGAAAATTCCCGATCAAATATTAGAACAAGAGATACAACACTACTCCTCTCAACCAAGATTACGGTATATCWTGGAGTAATTACTCCCTGCAAAGCCAACTCTGGCCAGTTTTTTTCCTCAACCTCGGAATAGTGTTCACTTATCTTTAAAAGTAAACGTCCTTTCCAACCAACGGCCTTTCTGGTTTGAATCAGCTGTACGTACGCTCTGAGTATTTACCGCTGCACTATCCGTGCCAAGCAGCGCCGGCGTCGCTTCGTTAGCGATCACTCTCCTTTAATAACTTAAACAAATTTACCTTCARTAATTTGATTAAGTTATTAAAGGAGAGTAATCGCTAACGAAGCGGCGCCGGCGCTGCTTGGCACGGATAGTGCAGCGGTAAATACTCAGAGCGAACAGATGATTCAAACCAGAAAGACCGTTGGTGGACGTGGTAAATATATTCATATCGCACGGCTGATTCGAACCAGAAAGACCGTTGGATGGAAAGATTATGTACTTATTGACTGAGTGGGAGGGCCGTACGGGAAAATATTTGGCTCGAGGTCATATCGTATGGACCGAGCGCAGCGAGGTCTGTACAAATGACCGAGAGCCAAATATTTTCCCGTACGGCCCGACCTAACTCAGTCAATAAGCATTTTATCATATGACCCTCACGAAAATAAAAATAATTAAGAAAAGGAAAGCGCGCGGATTCGAGCAGGGCCGGACGGGTTTTTCCCGGCCCGCTTACGTCAACCCGTCCGGCCCCCATCACGTGACTTTTTCCAAAGGTTTTATTAGAGCGCATGAGCAGGGCCGTACRGGTCATATGATTAAAGTGAATACTATTTAGTATCCATTTAGAAACAAACATATATCAATTCAATCAGAATAACTGAAACAATCGCACATATTTAAAACCCAATCCGCCTGTGCTTGCGCCCTTGGCGTTAAGACTAGATGTCAAGTGTTGTTTGTTGTCGAGGAGACCATTTTTGTGTGCCCATCTCCTGTGGATTACGGCAACCCTTTCTAAAAAAGGCGTTTATCAGTGGTTTTGGTTTATTAGCCAAATGTCAAAGTACTTGTTAATGTTGTGTAAGTGTTAAATACTAAAATATTGTAAGTTGCACCTCCACTCTGCACCGGTTCCTTCTTTACTTCCTCTTCGATGATTGTCGTGTTGTCTTTGCCAGTTCCGTAATCCCCATCATCTCCTCCACTCCCAGAAACCGCTCCAGACCCTGGTTTAAGAAAAAGGGGGTGTCGAGATGAGAAAAAAAGGTAAAAAGGATCTCAATTAATTTGTTTTATTTTCTAGCACGGGCGGGTGATGGCTTTAGCAGTCCGCGGAGTTTCGTACGCCCGTATCGCGGCTGGAAATTGGAGTCTAGGGCATGTGTTTTCGATTGCTTTCTTAGTTCAGTTTTACATTAGTAAAGTTTATTACATTAGTAAAGTTTATTACATTAGTAAAGTTTGGATTTTAAAGAGACTGATGTAGACTTAAGCCAAAACGTTATATCGGTAACTTTATCGTGTTTAGGATTTATCTTCATTGCCATAGAAAACGTATAGTAGTCAGATAGACAAAAACGAAGACAATGGAATTAGTCTTCTAATGTGTATTTGTTTAATTAAGAATCAAACCTCTCGTCCTCATTGTCTACGAGTCAATAGCCCATTCGGCTATCAAAACCTACTAAGAATCGGTTAAATAAAATTGGTACTTTTCGATACAGGTGGTCTATCACTTATAAACTACTAGTAACTCAGCCAATCGGAGCGCAGGATTTGTGATGGACCATTAGTAGGCTTTTGGTAGGTTTATAATAATATTTAGCATATACCAACTTGTGTACTTCCTAAGAACGCGCGCGCTCATTGGTTAATCTCGGAATATAATAATAATAATAATAATAATAATAATAATAATAATAATAATAAATTTATCCAGGAGACCTACTCGCAAAAGCGATTTTCAGTAGGGTCCTGCAACAGAAACAATTGTTAAAAATATATACAAAAATAAAATAAGACATAAATTAAAATTACAGATAAAATACTAAAAACTTTATATATAAAATTGTCATATAATAAAAATCTGTCAAGCGATTATTGAGTCGGCAACAAAATGGCATCTGCCGGCAATCGTTTTGCAACAATTTCCGATAAGGAAATTGAAAAAAATGAAAGTAAATGCTATTCCTATCAATACTAAAAAGGCAACGAAGTATGGCCTAAAAGTTTTGCTAAAAGGTTTGCGTGAATTTGTCATGCAAACTAAAAGTTTCTGTTTGTTTGTTTTTATTGAATTATTGTATATAAAAATAAGTTACACTGTGCACAAGTTAGTATATGCTAAAAGAATTATTCGCCTCAGACTCAGTAAATATGTAGAATATTTACCTCGCCGCTCGAAGACTCGCTTTTCGGTACTGATATTCCCCGACATTCACTTCCCCTTCGGCGAATAATTGCTAAATATTTCACGGGTTTAGTGACTTGCCCTGATACCTTATAAGGATATCGGCAACCCTTATTAGTAAACAAAAAAGGATAAGAATATCGCTTGCTTTTTATGTGATTCAGTAGTCACAGACGCAAAAAGCGCTAGCCTAAACATTTCAATCTTATCGTCCTCCGTCCTCCTGAACTAGTCACCTGAAAAGTTACAAAGCTGAGAGCTACACGCATTATGAATAGAGACATTTTGAAATTTTCAATCGCTTGATAGATAATGATGGACTGGATACTTTTTTTCCAATTACAGTCTCTCTTCCTGTGAACATCATCAAGCTGTAGTTTGTATCAAAAGAGCTTTACTTGTTTATTGTCAAAATGTCTTCCGTGATACTTGGTCCCAGCTTAGCACATTTTTGATGGCTAATTTTATTGAAAGAGGTATGTGATTGCTTGAATTGTACCTGATTCAGCTGTTGCACTGCACAGCACCACGAGGAGAATGACCACGTGAACGGTAATCATTACCTGTGGTAGAGCTGTAGCTCGAATACACTCGCCAATCAACAAACCAGATAAAATCTTTAATACATCGTTACATGCTGCTAGGGAGATATATCAAATGGTTAAGAGTAATTAGTAATATAATAATATCAAAAAAATTTTTTTTGACAGATGTGAAGATGGGAAGATGCGAAGATATGCTTTAGCGGCGCGAAATATAAAAACGGGGGGAGGGGGGGGCTTCTAACTTGGGGGTTCTAATAACGGGGAGTATACGGTACTTTATAGTATCAAGAATCATGAGTAAGCAGCAGCAAAAGAAGCAGATAGGCATTCAAGTGGCTTGTTTGATATGACTGCCTTGAAAACGAAAACCGTCTTTCTTCTGTAACCAATTTTAGCCAATCAAATTACAGGCTTTACTACTGATTGAATGAATTAAAATAAATGCCATGCTATTATCTATACACATCTAAAATATATTATGATTGATTATTTACTTAAAATTTACTCCATCGAATACAGAAAAGGTAGAGTGCTTTTTTATGTTAAAAGCCATACTTTTATCTTAAAAATAACCTTTGTTTCAATGAAATGTGTAGATATCAGTTGCCGAGGTTATACACTTAGTCTATTTATTTGCCTTGGCTTTCGACGGTGACTCTCTTCATCAGAGGTTATAACATAATAAGAATTAAAAGTATCATRGAGAGCATATAAATACGTAGAGGGCGGTTAAGTTATTATCCTCATTAATGATCTCCTGCCAATACCAAACCTTACACTGCCGATCCCTCTATATCTCATTCATCGGACGACCACAGCAATAGCACTTAATCGAAACCGTTACATCTTTTTGCTCAAGTTGACTATAATATTCTATTTTTCCAACACTTTAGAGGTCGAGATTATTATGTTGACAACATCTCTAGCACAACAATGATACGATCAAGTTTAATGTTAGCAGGTAAATTAGCAGGTAAATCTATCGGGTGTTTCAAATAAAATCACTATACTATTTTCTCGTCGAAAAGTTATGCTTGTCTTGACGTTGAAATCAAGAAGAACGAATAGTATTAATAAAAGAAAATAAATATGAAAGAATAAAAATATTTCATTAAATTTCGTATATCTTTTTAGTTGGTAACGTTAAACAACAGGTAACCTATTGACTGACTGAGTTTTCAAGCAGATCAAGGCACCTGCAACTCCCTGTGAAACAAATCAGGTATACCAATATTATTAATACATTTTCTGGACCTTATTCTTACGATCTCTTAAACTAAAGTCAAACATCATATCGAACTTCACATAAGCCTAACGAATTGAAAACAAGGGATCATAAGAAAGTCCGTTCCTTTATGTCATTAGGTTCGGCTCATGTGATGTCCGATGCTTGACCTTAGTCTAAAAGACGACGGTTATCAAATAAAAACTTGAAGTAGATATTKTTTCGTGTATAGATAAAAAGATGAAGAATCTCAGGAGAAAAGATTGAATTATAATAAGCCTGCAATATTACGCTCATTGACAAAAATGATTCTCTCTCAGTCTGGTTTCTGAACCTTGCATGTTGAATATTCCATAATGAATAATAAACTTTACAAGCAAGATGGAATTATTTTGCCGTACCTGAATGATGACCAGAGCCGGGTTTTGTTTCAAACGTGCCATAATCACGTATACAAAATCCCTTTATCTGTTTTCATCTCACACTAGACATTACGCTAAACAAACACGCTTTGATCAGACCAATTTTTTCTTCTTGGGGAGCATGCGCAGTTTCTTCCGAATAATAAGCCCTTTCTATGCATGACCTCAATGTTGAGACATTATAAATTCAACAGCTGACATGCAGGAAACCCTTTTTTGGAATGATCTATAGACACTATGGTCAATATACAGGTGTCATACATTTCGTTTACATTCCTTTATGAGGGGAACTAGTACAATCGACAAGTATGAAAATATTTCGAATTTTAATTAATTTAGTTGCAATTTTACGGGAATAACTTTTAAGGTTAATTGATACTGGCTAGTAAATTTTTTTTTTTTTTTTTTTTGATATTTCAATGAAAAGAATTACATGTTTTACATTTCTGCGCCTTTCAAAAGGAGACAGTAACGTCATCTACCAGCTACCAAACAACGTTATGATATATTCCTATTTTGTAATCGAAATATCCAATAGTTTTATACTCAGTACTGAAGAAAAGAGACGAAACAATCGATTCTAATCTTGAGTAAAGCCCTCAGCCGAACTTTATGAGAAAAAAAAAAGTAATATATACCAGTCTTTGTTAGACCCTCACTTTAAAGTTTGTCCCTTTGAAGTTTGAGCGTAACTGAAATTTTAGACGAATTTCGTACATGTCCTCTGTTAAGAAGAATCTTYATACGCTATCTTTATTAAGTTTACTATTTTCAATTTATATATGCTATAACCAAACCAAAACTCAAGAATAAACTTATATGTAATTGGTATTTTTTTGTAGTAGCTTTCAGAGCCAAAATACCTCTAAAATATAGCATAAAATGATCAGAATCGGGTGAGCTTGCAAAATAATCACGTGTTACCACGGTAACATTGATTGACAGTTGGCAAATGCTAATTGTCGGACCGTATACTGGATTCCTACAGCAGAAGGCCATAAAGGTCTCTTTGGTAAATTGCCGAAGACTTCTCGGTACTATTGCGCAATTTTCCCATTTTCTCGCGCAGCAATCAGTGAGGAAAAAAAAGAAAATCGAAAAAATTTTATAACCAGTTTATTACAGGTAACCCGGTAAATGTTCGACGTCACATAAAGTGAAAATTCTTCAGCAAACAGTCTTAAAATCAGGTGAGAATACGAAGGTTTAACCGTCTGTCTCTAGTTATCCGTAAGTAAGATTGTAATAGTATGACGTAATCATATGTTGTAGTTAGACTTAAAAAAATATACTTGTCTTTTGTAAGAAGGTGTACAAAGAGTGAAATAGAAATACAGGGAAACGATGAAAAGGTGGTCATGTTTGCCTTTTGTTCGAAGGAAAATCGTTCATTGAAACCGCTTTAAACTTTCCCAATTTAGACGATGTTTGGATGTTTTGGACTACCTGTATTTATATACATTAGATATGCATTGTATGCTTGGGTTACCTGTGTAAATGGTCACATGATATTAATTTACCATTGGGTTACCTTTGTACTGAAGTCTCAGGGCATCAGGAGGGCTCTAAAAGGTATTYCAATGAATCGAATGGATCCATTGGGAAACAGTTTTTCCATTGCAATCTAGTCGTTCTAGTCGTGAATTGTCATACTTGGGCTAACTGTGCATTAAAGTCCGAMCGCATAAGGAGACCCCCAGAATATATTCCAATAGAGCGAATGGATTCATTCTTTGGAAAAAGGCATTTTCCATTGGAATCTAGCCGTTCTAGTCGTGGAAGCACGTGTTTTAAATACGATGTTTAGGATACTTCATATCTTAGTAATAGATAAAATATGAGCGGGAGACCTTTATGGGCATTTAAAACGGCGAGCCGCAGGCGA